GAAACTCATTTCGAACTAAGAAGGTTTACAACACCTCGTGAAATGTTGAGTAATAATGTTTTCCTACTCTAGCACATTTAGAATTGGAGTTGTGATGTTTTTCATAAAAAACAAAAGATAATCTGAGACCAATTCTATGAAGTGTTTTCTTGTCTGGAATCCACACGAACTTTTGAATATTTGCTCGTCAAAGGATTGTTCTTTGCGGGAGTCTCATTGATCTTGAGAGTTTCAAGAGTCAATCGACAATAAACCTTTTAATTATCATTAACACGCAACCTGAGGTTGAGAACCAGTCGTGCTTGATTGACACATTCTTATTTATGTGCACCTTCCGGTTGAGTTGGCAATGCTTATGAGTTATTATGTTTTTCATTTAACTACAAAAGCAAATCATGTTGGTTGGTAAAAGTACACTGATCAATATGGTTGATCTGCTAACAAAACGGAAACACTGGTAGGCCCTTGTGCTACCAGAGGGCAAGAAATTTAGAATAGCAAAGTTTAGTCCATGAAGGAGAGCTGAATTTGAATTCGTTTTGTCCCAAGCCTTGTTTTGTGATTGTATGTTGGAAATAGTAGATTCACATGGATGGAAACATATGCACCATAAAATCTATGTTGCAAAGTTTTCTCTCTAATTCATGAGAATGATTATAAGCAAATACTTTTGCTAGTAGATTTTAGAGGTCTGATATAGATCAATATGGATATTGATTGTGTTAATTGCATTCTAAAATTCACAATATGATTACGACATCCTTCTTCATATTTTGAATTGTGAGGAATCGAAAGGAATTGTTTAAGCTTTCAAGACTTATAGTTATAATTTCTGAAAGGGTTTAAATACACACATAGGCTATCTAATGAATGTGTATAAGCTTAAGAAATCTAGTTGAAGACTTATCGAAGCATCACGTAACAAAAATTTATACTTCAGTAAGAAAGTCAAGAGTATTGATTTCTAGAAGCCCAGTTAATTTATAGGTACATGTCAAAGCTAGTGGGAGCATAACTGTTATGCTAGTATTGCATGTTGACAATACTATTCGTAGAGAACAATGTTTCAGATTTGTAAATTGCAAAGATTGGGAATTGTTTTGCTATAGTGAACTTAAGGGAGAGGGCACTCATACTTCATTACGAATCTAAAGTTTAGATCATATAGTTTAATAGAACTTAGTCATGAACATATATGAATATCATGTTGAAATGGTTTAACATAGTAAATTCCATATATGGAAATATTATAGCAAGAGATTAAACATATATCAAACCCCTTATGTGAGACATAATAAATCGAGTCCCATATGCTTCAGATATAGGATCGATTACATATGCTATAATAATCACTTATTCTGATTTTTTTCAAATGCTTAGAGCATTGTGAGAAAAGGACTAAATTTTGTGTGAATAAAGTTATTAAAAAACTGTCAATAACATCCAAAGGTTATACCAAAGAATGGTTGCTTGTGTACGGTTAGAAGTGTGATAGTATTTGGAAGGACCATGGTGACATGATTCTTGATTGAGATGATTCTTGGTCAGAATTGATGGTCATATGGTCATATGGAAATGTTTCATAATGGGAGATAGTTAGAAAGTCTAACATGTGAGTTAGAAACTTTAATGCAAGAGAAGTTTTCAAAGAATGTACCTTGAATGGGAACCTTCATTACCATGGAATTGTTTTTAGAAACAAAGTTCCAATAGAACATTCTGTAATATCGTTGGCTCAGTTTCCTTGACTTTGAAGCCTCGACATCACAGAAGGTCAATGCATGTAAAGTTGGAATTCCTATACATTTTAGATATTGACAAGAATTTGGATTTATGAAATGAACGTCACTTGAGTAATGTCCAGTTGATATGTTTACAAAGGAAGGACCGTAGAGAGAAATAGTATGCATGTTCATAACATGTCATGACTGATGTTATTTAATTCAAGTGGTTATTTGATTACTCGAAACATTATACAAGGAATAAAGTCATAATTATTATGGTGATTAGATAATAGAGGTTATTTATATTCAATAGGTTGAGACCATAGTTAATTAGTGTATTATTGTGTTTCACTTTACGTGTTTTACTTCCTGAATAATTTGATTTTTCGAATTCCACAGTCGCTCATACTTTTGAAAGTGAGTAGTGAATTAAGATTGGTATGAATGGATTGTAGATTGTCATTGAGGTTAAGACATTGCAATTAGAATTGCTACAATGTTTATGAGTATTTAGTAAATGGAGATTTTGAGTATTGGATAAACCCACGCTCAGAGAATTACTTCACGGATTATATCACGAGTAATTATGAGACGATAATATCTTTTATTCTTAAAAATAAGATATATGAGTTGTAATTTACAAGTCGGTTGTGCATTGGTATTGCAAAAACGCATCAGTAACATGATGTTATAAAACATAGTATCATGCACAATTTGATGAGTAAAAGATACAAGCATATGAGTCGAATTTTATTCGTTCCTTTTTCCCTAACAGAGAAAGCGATATTTTTGGGCCCCTCGATGATTTGTTCTCGATATCTGAAGTGCTTGGCCAAGCTTGGACTAAATTGATGTGTTAAATTAGAAGTCAGAATTCAGTCGTCATAAATCAAGAAATCGGGAAACAAAATCTTGGACTATGAGATTGATTCTAATCTATGTCTCATGCCCATATGATATCATGTAGAATGAAGGAACAATTTGATCACTTATCTTAGGGCCAATGTCTGTTCAGATCAGAGTTCGACAGTTGCTATGGAAGCACTCTTTGCTGTCTAATTTAGAACTTATACTGGCAGTTGCAGTTATAGACTTATCCAAGTGGAAGACTGTTGGATTAGGTGTCTAAGTCAATAACTGAATTGATATATACTGGAATTATTAGCAAAGTTCTTTTGGGTTGCCCTCAGACCTAGTAATTGAATAGAATGACTTTTAGAGAAAGAAAATAATTTATTGATTTATTATATGATTAATAAATAGCAATAGATGAATTTATTAATATGTTATGAAAATAATATATTAATCATAAATATTGTTATTTAATTAAGAATTAATCATAAATTAATTAGAATTAATTTTGGGATTAATTGAATTAATTAAAAGTACATGGGTTAAAGTGAAATTGTCCAATAGTTGAACAAGAGACATTCCAGAACCTTCCTGATACCTTGGACGATTTTAGGAGGTTTTTAGGGATTCTAGAATTCTCCTTGGAGGATAATCAGGAAGCTGAATAATTACCAATTTAAGATATTATTATTATATTGGTTTTAGGGTTATCTAGGGTTTCCTAGTTGCACTATATAAAGACCCTTAGCCTTGCAAATTTCGACCACTTATTCCTGATAGAGTGATAGCCGAAATTCTTCTCCTCTCTCCTCTCTCTTTGAGTCTTATTGTTTTTAATATTGGGTGTGAACCATCAGAGGCACGACACTTGTGGTGCTTGCTTCCAGAAGCATTGAAGATTGGATTACTTGATTGTTTACTACAACGATCTACAAGGTATGTAAACTAATTCATTTTTTTTGTTTTTCTTTAGTTTTTTAGTTCATAGTATGTTGCCTTCAATGTGTTTGACATAGACCCATTATAGGATGCATGTACCCAATTAGTTGTTAATTGATTTTCCGCATTGTACATTGTTTTGTATTCTATAATTCCCATCATAATCAAGCACCATTTACTTCAAAACTAAAGGACAATGGTCTGACCACCGTCTCTCTAATGCCACACAAGAAATATTAGGAAACAAATCCATGATATTCTCCGACACCAGAAAACGATCTAACCTACTCATTTTGCTACATGAACGATCAACACGTGTGAACTTTCTCCCGTCCATGGGAATATCAACCAAACCTGCTTCAAAAATAAAATTATTAAAATGCTATGCCTACGATGCACATAAAACCGACCCAAATCTCTCAGCCGCCATCTGCACAACATTAAAATCACCAAAAACAATAAAATACCCAGTAATTCAATTCAACACAGACCTCAAAGAGTTCCAAAGTTACAGTTTTTTAAAGGATCCCGAGACACGTAAACATTAACCATAGAGAATTTAAAATTATTTGAGTAAATTACATGAATGGTCCCTATGGTTTAGGGGAATTTGCGCGGTTGGTCCCTAACTTATTTTTTTAACTCGGAAGGTCCCTACTATTTGTTTTTGTTACGTGCTTGGTCCCTGTGTTACCTAAAAAGACTATTTTGCCCTTGATTTTTTAATTTATTTAAATAAACACACCCAACCACACCCCCTCACCTTACCTTACCTATCCCACCATTTTTCCGTATTAAAATATTAGTCTTTTTAGGTAAGACAGGGACCAAGCGTGTAACAAAAACAAACCGTAGGGATCAAGCTCGTAACAAAAACAAACAGTAGGGACCTTCCGAGTTAAAAAAATAAGTTAGGGACCAAGCAAGCAAATTACCCCAAACCATAGGGACCATTCGTGTAATTTACTCAAACTATTTCTAACCCATCTCCCTTCAACTATGTCCTTGTTTTCGGTGCACACATCCCTTTCTTTTTTAAAGGCAATCGGGTCCCAAACAGAAAGAATTCCCCCTGATTTAGACGTACTGCATGCAAATTCAAATCTATTATTATTATCCCACAGAGAGCGAATTTTAAACAACTCAACACATGTCATTCTAGTCTCTTGCAAACCCAAGAAATTAATTGTGTTATTAACACACAATTCTTTCACCCCATCCTCTCTTTTTATACATAAGAATCTCGCAAATATTAAGGGTCATACAATTCATGAAACCTGTAAAACACCCATACTAATTAGTCTCTGTTTGAAATCTGCTTTTGCGTTTTCCACATCATATCCCAACACCTTACCTAATTCAATAAATTTATACACCTCATCACAAGAATTCACTTCAACATTAGGGGTAATTTTACATAACAAACAAACAAAATCTATGCTTCTAGTTCTTCTGGCATCAAATATAGAATTCTGGAAAGACCCACTACCCCCATTCAAAGATTCCAAGGTCTCGAATTTCCCCCCCAAAACTAGGGGGTTTGGACAAGTCTGATCCCTGATCATTGCAAAAGTTTTGGTTGGTTTCTAAGCCATCTCCATTACTATCAATCGCCTTAAACTTGTCCCAAAAATCTGACTGTTGATTATCTACCCCACCATGGTTATCATCAGGACCAACACTAGCCTCCGCCTCCACTGGAACCTGCTGAGGAGATGCCGAAATATCCCTCAAACCCTCTCATTCAACAATTATTCTAGGCTGATTCGGTTGTTGTATTTCCTTAGAAAAATCTGCCTCTTTTTGACCTTGTTCCGAAGAACATTTTCCACCTGATACCTCTTCTACTAACCCTTCCTGATAACCATCATACCCACCTTCAGGATCATAGTCATCATACACCGAGTTGTCTTCTAAATTTTCTCCCGATTCATCACAAGATAATCCATGCATTTGATCATCATCTTGAATAAAACTTTCTTCATCCTATACATCAGGTTCCCACGGGGCCATCTCCTTTACAAAAACCTTGTAGTCTTTACCATCTAAAGTCATTACAATAAGTTCTTGAATATTTTCTAATAAACCCGTCTGAATATAACCTTGCCCACTGACATGCAATTAGACTCATCATCATCAGTAAAACAAATTGTACCCCTAACCAACGCAATCTTCTTTAACACCACACGATTCCAAGCACACAACGAAAGCCCATGTATTTCCAGCTATACTAATCTATGAGTCACCAGAAACTCTTTACCAATTGACTTAAATTTGGGGCAAAAACATTTTGAATTCCAACATTATCAGGGAAAGACTTACATGATTTCACTGATTCAAACATCACCCATACCCATAACCTACCAACATATCGAATTTTAACATTAGCAAAGCCTTCTTCCCGACATAATTTTATCAAATTAGGAATAACAGTAGCATCTCTTACCTCAGCAAGAATCATAGCTTGAACATCAGTCAATCCAGTTAATTCTCTATTACCAATCACCACTTTCTTCTTAATTACCTCTGGCATGGGTTTAACTGCATGGATTTACTGGTTCCTTCACCTGTCACAACCTTCATGTAAGATTTCCCACGTGTTAGACTTTAGCAGCAACAATAGGGACTTTTACACCAAAATGGAAACAGGGACATGAAAGCAACCTGTACAGGGGACAAAATATAGAAGGGCAAAAATGGAATATCTATGCAGCTTTAGTAATCTGGACAAGGAACAGAGTTTTCCAAAGCTTTAGAGGCTTTTCTTATTTAACTTGATAACAGAGAAAAAAGGTGACACCAGTCACGTACATAGCTAGACTATTTAAACAAAAAACTTGCATGAAAATAGGAACTAACTGATACTAGCTAAAGACCAGGTATACAGATACCATGTGGCTTTGATTTATTCTTCCTAACATAAAAAACGTGCATATTCAATAAAGATTACTGAATTACTTTTAACATTCTCCCCTTAATTCAGAATCTTGTGATTGACTTTACTCCAATCAAGTCTCTCATTTCTTCATACTTCACCCTTGCCATTGACTTTGTAAGAATATCTGCTTTTTGCTTTGTCCCACACACATGACTGACAACTATTTCCCCATACTATACACATTCTCTTATAAAGTGATACCTTATATTGATGTGTTTGCTACGCCCATGGAAAACCGGATTTTTCATTAAGTCAATAGCTGACCTATTATCTACAAATAGGTCAATTGGAGGTACCTTTTGTCCAGTGATTTCAGTAAGGAGTCTGCGAAGCCATATGCCTTGACAAGCTGCCTGAGTTGCAGCCATAAACTCTGTTTCACAGGATGACAAGGCCACACTCCGTTGCTTTTGTGATGCCCATGTCACTAAGTTCCCATTCATGTAGAATGCTATTCCTCCTGTACTCTTCCCATCTTCCATGTCCTTTCCAAAATCACTATCAGAGTACCCAGTGAGGGTGACCTGTTTTTCACCTTTGGTAGACTTCAATCCATAGTTCAAGGTACCTTTGATGTATCTGAGAATTGCTTTCACAGCTTGGAGGTGTTTGACAGTTGGCTTTTCCATGAATCGATTAACTACACCGACTGAAAAGGAAAGATCAGGGCGTGTGTGTGTGAGGTACCTGAGTGCACCAACTATGCTTCTATACTCTGTAGGATCCACCGGTTCTCCTTCTTCATCTTTAAACAATTTTAGCTTGTGTTCCATGGGGGTTCTGGTTGCATTACACTCCATCATGCGTGTCTTGTTCAAGATGTTCTTTGCATATGCCTCTTGCTTCAAAGTGATTCCCGTCTCATCTTGGTTGACTTCAATTCCCAGATAATAATTCAGCAAACCCAGATCACTCATCTCAAATTTGGCTTTCATCTCCAATTTGAAATCACTTACATCTTTTGGACAGTTGCCTGTGACCAGCAGATCATCCACATACACCCCCACTATCAAGATGTTGCCTTCTTTCTTCCGTGTGTAAACAGAGTATTCTTGAGAGCACCTTGTAAAACCCAAGCTTTTCAGGTACTTGTCTAGATAGGCATTCCAAGCTCTGGGGCTTGTTTTAGTCCATACAAAGCTTTTGAGAGCCTGTATACCTTGCCTTCTTCTCCCTTTTTCTCGAAACCTTCAGGTTGCATCACGTACACTTCTTCATTCAACCTTCCATTCAGAAAGGCCGATTTTACATCCAAATGATGCACCCACCATCCACTTGATCCTGCGAGGGCCAAGATTACACGTACTGTTTCAATTCTGGCTACTGGAGCAAAAACCTCCTCATAGTCGATGCCCTGTTTCTGTACATATCCTTTTGCTACAATTCTTGCTTTTTACTTTGAAACTCTCCCATCTCGATCTCTCTTCACCTTGCAGACCCATTTTAGGCCAATTGCTTTTCGCCCTTTTGGAAGAGGAACCAGGGTCCAGGTTTCGTTCTTCTCAATCGATGCCAGTTCTTCCTTCATTGCCTTGACCCATTCGTTTCTTGCCTTCGCTTCTTGATACGTGTTTGGTTCTTCCTCATTGCGGATCATCAACAGTTCTTCAGGGGGTAATTGAATTTCTTCTGTAGCTTCGTATAGGTCTGTGAGTAAACGATATCGTTTTGGAGCCCCACCGCCTGTTGAGCTTGAGGCGGTGTTCAGAGACGAAGTTGGAGTCGCAATCGTTGGGGTTATTGGCGAATTGGGTGAATAGGGCATACCCGACTGGTTTGTGGACTCGCTTCGTGGGCTGCCGAGTAATGGGCTCACTTGAGGTGAGTTAATGGATTGGTCAGCTTCGATCCAATCGTCATTGTTAGTTGACTCGTTTGACCCGACACCATAATGAGGAGTATATGGGTCCGGATCGCTGTTATCTTCTTGAACGTCGTCTTCTTGCAATTCAGGCTCACCCAAATCATTAAGATCGAATCCTTCCACTGTGAAGGTCATACCTGGAATTGCTTTAATCTTGGCTTTCTCCCCCCAATTCCAGGTTTGATCTTCTTCGAACACCACATCCCTACTTACATATATTGATCCCGTATCGGGATCCAACAACCTGTGAGGTTTCGATTCTTTTTCTGTTCCCAAATATACTACCCTCTTGCTTCTGTCATCTGATTTCTTTAAGTGATTATTGGCTATCTTCATATGCGCGATACACCCAAAAACCCTTAGATGACTGACATTTGGCTTTCTTCCCGTCCACATCTCGTACGGCGTGATTTCTTTGAGGGCCTTAGAGCTTATTCGATTCAAGATGTAAATGGCATGGCTTACTGCTTCTCCCCACAATACATCAGGTACTTTCATTGTTTTTAAGAAGCGTCTAACCATCTCTAATACTGTTCGATTCCTCCTCTCTACAACCCCGTTCTGTTGTGGGGAGTAGGGTGATGTATAATGGCGGTTTACTCCAGTCTCTTCACAGTACTTGATAAATTGATTTGAGAGAAATTCTCCCCCTCGATCTGTTCTGAACATCTTTAATTTTTCTCCAGTCTCCACTTCAACTTTTGTTCTAAAATTCTTGAAAGTCTGAAACGCCTCATCTTCTGATCTTAGCAGGTACACCCACATCACTCTGCTGTAATCATCCACCAGAAGCAAGAAGTACCTGTTTCCAGCTGGTGTTGGTGGTGAGACTGGTCCACAGAGATCACCATGTACAAGTTCCAATCTTCTCTTTGCCCTGAAGTTTGTACATGAAGGGAATGGATGCCTGGTTTGCTTCCCCATGAGACATCCCTCACAAGGCTTAGATGGAATCACCATCTTGGGAATTCCCTTAATCAAACCTTTATCAGCCATAAGTTTTAATGAGGTAAAATTTACATGTCCTAACCTTGTGTGCCAGAGCCATGTTGGGTCTTTCATTTCAGCAACTAAACATCTTGAATTAACTTCTTCAAGTTGAATTTTATAGAGACGATTCTGGGATTTTTGTACCTTCATCAACAACCTTCTTGTGCTGTCATGAATCCAAAGGAATGGTTCTCTTATCTTGATCTCATCTCCACCTTCAGATACCTGGCCTAGGCTTATAATATTGCTGCATAAATCAGGTATATAATACACCTCTTCCAATCTTCTTTGTTCACCATTCTTGCATTTGAAAACTATTGACCATTTTCCCTCAATTCTGACTCTGGATTCATCTCCAAATTTAACATAACCTTGTATTTCTTTGTTCAGGTTATGGAACTTTCTTTCATCACCGGTCATGTGATTACTTGCCCCTGTATCAAGGTACCATAACCTTGATTGGTTTGACTCTCCACCTTTTGTTTTTAATTTCGGATTCACATTCTCCTCATTTAAAAACACTTCACCCATTTCTTGTCTGTTTTCCAGGGACATCAGCAGTAGCGCAGGTTCGTTGTCCTATTATATGAGGTTGTTCTCATGGACCCTCTCCTTTCTTGGGTTTGTGCATTCAGCTGCATAATGCCCAAACTCCTGGCAGTTGTAGCATTGGATGCCGCTCTTGTCTTTACTACTAGATGCCCCATTGCTGCCTTCTCGTGGGCCACCTCTTCCACGACCACCACGACCTCTGCCCCTGCCTCTGCCTCGTCCACGTGAGCCGCCAAACCCTCCTCTTTGTGATTTGGACTTGCAGTCACCATCACCCTTCTTCTTGTTCCTCTCTGACCACTCTTGGTGTGTCAAGAGAAGCTTTCGATCATCACTTTCGGTATGGCCCTTCATTCTTTCTTCATGTGCTTTTAATCTTCCAATTACTTCTTCTATTGTCATTTCATCTAGGTTTCCAAATTGTTCCAGGGTCGAGGCCAATTGCAGGAATTTGGTCGACACTGCCCTAAGCAGCTTCTTCACTACATAGGCTTCTTCTACGGTATCACCCAGAGTGCGCATGGAACTGACAATATTACTAACCTTCACGGCGAAATCATCTACTCCTTAAGACTCCTTCATGGTAAGTGATTCGAACTCTGCCTTTAAAGTTTGAATCCTCGCCCTTTTTACTCTGTCTGCCCCCACAAATCTTGTTTTTAATGCCTCCCATGCTTCCTTGGCCGATTTCTTGTCAGCCAATGACATTAAAAGATCTTCAGGTATCCCTTGGTAAATCGCTGCTAATACCATTTTGTCTTTCTTTGCATCAACAGTTGTGTTTGGAGTTCTGGGCTCTACTGCATCCCACACACCATGAGCCTGCATGAAGACCCGCATATTGATTGCCCATGGTCCATAGTTGGTTCTTGATAACATTGGATAGTGGAGAGTAATTTGACCAACTTTGTCGCCATTCCCATTCTTTCCTGCCATCTCTTCACGAGATTGATACTTGGGCATGCACCAGAATCTTTGCTCTGATACCAAGTGTTGGACTTTAGCAGCAACAATAGGGACTTTTACACCAAAATGGAAACAGGGACAGGAAAGCAACTTGTACAGGGGACAAAATATAGAAGGGCAAAAATGGAATATCTATGCAGCTTTAGTAATCTGGACAAGGAACAGAGTTTTCCAAAGCTTTAGAGGCTTTTCTTATTTAACTTGATAACAGAGAAAAATGGTG